TGTGTGTGTGTGTGTGTGTGTGTGTGTGTGTGTGTGTGTGTGTGTGTGTGTGCGCAGCGCTCGCTCTGGCCATGGAGAGGGACGGCTCCAGCGGTGGAGTGGTCAGACTGGCGGTCATCACGGAGCAGGGTGTGGAGCGACAGGCCATCCTCGGGAACCAGCTACCCAAGTTCTCCACCGTCTGAATCTGATCTGTGCTTTAGCAAAGCCTGAGGGTGTTTCTCTAGATGTTTGTCACTGAGCTCCAATAAACAAGACTCCGGTCCTCCTCTTTGGTGTCTGGCTGACTGATTTATTGACAGATGATTCATAATCCAGATGTTTTGATGAAATGAAGGGTTTTGCTTTTACGTTTGTGTTTGGGGCAGAACTGTCTGTCTGAAACTTTTCAATCGATATATTGCGTGTCTGTGTGTTACACCGTTGCATCGCCTTTAAATTGATTAATTTGACATTAGCCGTTTTTTTTTCCTGTTTATTGCTACAAAGCTGCTTTGAAATTTGTTTTTTTACAATAACTTTGTCACCAATTTTAGAACCTTGACGTCATTTTTTGAAACTCTAGACACAAAACAGTCATTATTTGTAACACAATAGGTTACATGTTGCCTTCAAGTCTTTAAAGAAGCCTTGCATTGGTTCAAATAACTTCTCATGAAATAGCGTTAGATCACCCACACACACGATGTGGATCATTAAATACAGTTGTTCAAAACACATGCTGCATCTTTCGTTATGGTTCTACACATTCATACGTCATTGTAATAGACTAGAGAGACCAGTACAGACACTGAAATCACTGAACAAAATCTAGTAATTCTGGGCCCCATTCAGTGGGGGGTGTTCATTCTGGGCCGCTCTCAAACACTCCTCCATGTCATGGCCAGGTTAAAGCCTGCCTCATCCAAAAATACGAATGGTTCTCATCAGCTTCCAGCACTAGCACCCGCTAGAAAGACATTTACTATCGGAAAAACAAATACTGAGAACGTTCTCTGTTTTCCCCCAACAACAGGCATCTTGAAAATGACCCTACCTGAACACACGCAGTCCTCAGTCGCTTCACTTTCATAATCTAAACGTGTAATATTGTTCATCCTTTTTTCATGAAAAAACTATGCATATTGAGTAATGCAACAGTTACTTAGCATCTTGAGCAGTTGTATCAATTGCTAGTTAGATCTTTGTAATGAAATCAATACACTTGACTCCGCTGTAATGTGTGCGATGAATTTTGAAATAGCAATACTTTGATGTCATTCTGAACTGGTGATCTTAGGTTGATGTGTATTGTATCCAAGCATTTGGTAACTTAATCCACTAACACTAATATTGACATGTAGTTGCAAGGTTACCTATAGTTAGTGAAATACAGTGAATCAATTCCATTGTTTCTAGCTGAGAAGAGCAAGAACTTTTTATTATTACTTCACTGGCCTGAGCCAACTAGTAATACTAGAAAGTTTTGAACTGATGGTCGAGACCGAATTACATCCAGCAGCGCTTCACTCCAGAGCGACTGCAGAAGGCTGGCCAATCAGAGAGCAGGGCCTCTCACAGGCCACGCCCCAACCAGCCAGTGCTTGAGCCACTGGTAGACGACGAGGTAGTTTCTGAGGAGCCAAAGGAACAGGAAACAGGAAGTGAGCGCATAAAGTACACACAGCAACAAAAAACCAGCAAACAGCCACCAGCACCAGGGCAGCAAACGTCCAAACGCTTCCCATCTGGTGGTTTGGAACGTGATCGTGGGCAGTTCTGCTTGGGCAGTACTTTGAGGTTGGGATTGGCCAATAATTGGTCCAAAGTTGGTGTTGAATGTGATTGTGTGTGGTTCTGGTTGGCCAGTAGCTTGACTTTGGGCCTCGGCAATAATTGGAGCGGTGGTTGGTGGTTCAGAGTTGGTTGTGGGTTGGGATGTGTCGGTTTTCCAGGTGGTTGGTTCTGTGGCATCTTGAGAGGGAAGATATGGATTGGCCATTGGAGTCAAGATAAAATACTCCGTCCAGAATTCATGCCAGATATTGGTCCAAGTCTCAGTAACCCAATACCTTTCAATAGAGGCCCAGGATTTGGTGGAATCATGCAGGTGGGCGTCTATAGTGGTGTGATATGGAGCAATCGGCATTTGAGTGCTGGAAATTGGTTTTACTGAGATTGTTGGAAGATCAGGAGGGGATTCGAGATCTGTAAGATGAGGAGCAAGTTCAAGATCTGAAATTTCAGAAGAGGATCTAATATCTGGACGTTCAGAAGATGATCCAATATCCTGGTCTCCTCTGGGGTGGAGGGGTGGAGGATAGGCTGGAGTTGGTGGATCTGGTGGACAGAAGCCACTCTCCTCCAGCTCAATGATGGGTCGTTTGAGCAGGTGAGGTGGTCTTGAAAGTCCTGGAATGTTATTTTGCAGTGTCTGTACGAACCCTGTTTAAGTGACCAGTTCTTGCAGCATTTTAATGTTTTTTTTGTTGTTATTTGAACTGAACTGTAGATTTCTGGAGTAAACTGTCTTACTACATATTTCCTATTTTATATTCATTTGCTAGTATTTAATTGACCATTATTTCTTCTGAACAAAGCAATTTCAGAAATGTCATGTTTTAGAGTGTAGGTCATCCTGTACTCTGTCAAGGGCAAAGCTAACCAGCTAAACTTGATATCAGAAGCATCTAAATGTTGCATGTGTTTGCAGCATATTGTAGACATGCTGCATCTTTCGTTATGGTTCTACACATTCATACGTCATTGTAATAGACTAGAGAGACCAGTACAGACACTGAAATCACTGAACAAAATCTAGTAATTCTGGGCCCCATTCAGTGGGGGGTGTTCGGCCCCCCAGCCAACATCATTCTGGGCCGCTCTCAAACACTCCTCCATGTCATGGCCAGGTTAAAGCCTGCCTCATCCAAAAATACGAATGGTTCTCATCAGCTTCCAGCACTAGCACCCGCTAGAAAGACATTTACTATCGGAAAAACAAATACTGATAACGTTCTCTGTTTTCCCCCAACAACAGGCATCTTGAAAATGACCCTACCTGAACACACGCAGTCCTCAGTCGCTTCACTTTCATAATCTAAACGTGTAATATTGTTCATCCTTTTTTCATGAAAAAACTATGCATATTGAGTAATGCAACAGTTACTTAGCATCTTGAGCAGTTGTATCCGCATATTGTAGTGAGTAAGCTTTCTTGGTATTGCTGTTTCAGATATCCACCATAATCTGTAGTCTGAGCTTGTGAAGGGCAGATACGTTACTAGTTAGTTTCAAGGAAAATCATTTTCTTTCTTTGTTTGCCAAATAACCCCGTGTATGTGTGTGTCCAGGTGTACACGGTGCCGGTCGGAGGGATGATGACCAGGCAGCCGGTGTCAGTGGGAGGATCCGGCAGCAGCTACATCTACGGATATGTGGACTCAAACTACAGAGTTGGAATGAGCAAAGAGGAGTGTCTTAAATTCACTGCAGAAGGTTAGACACACGCGCGCACACACTGACAAACACAGATACGCGCGCTCACTCACACACACACACTCACACAAACACGGACACGCTCACTCACTCAATCACACAGACACAGACACACGTGCGCACACTCACTCACACACACGGACACATGCGCGCGCACACACACTCACGCGCACTCACACACGCTCGCACAGACACACTCGCGCACACACACACAACCTCACACATATGCAGTAGTGATGGGAGGAACGAAGCTTTTCAAAACTAAACTTTGAATCAGTTGAACCATCTCACAATTCATAATTTAGAAAAAGTCATTATTTAGACTTTAAATGATGACTTTTGTATTTGGCCTTTTTTTTCCTCATATGTTTAACTATTACTCACAGTTTGGACTTTTTTTTCTCAAATATGTGATCATTTGGGGGTTTTGTTTCTAAATTGCAATTTTAAGGTTTTTCAAAACTTTGAGTCAGTTGAAAACTGGATCATGAAATGATTCACTGTCAAAGTGTCACATGCTGGTGTAAACGCAGTGAAAACTCAAGCCAAACCGCAACCTTTCAGTCTTAAAATCTGGGCTTTTTACTTCTTGAATATGCGTCTTGTCCATTACCATTTGGATTCTTTCATCTCTAAATTGCAAATTTTTGGTTTTTCGAAACTTTGAATCAGTTGAACCAAACGCTTCACAAAATGATTGAGTGTTTCGCGGCGCCCCACACTGGTTAAACCCGAGTAAGTGCAATGAAAACTCCATGCATGAAAACACTTACAAACCAGTTTCAGATGTTTTATTGGAATCTGTTGAATGTAATTAACAAACCGTGTTGGGAAGGTTATTGTGGAAATGTAATCGGTTACAGATGCAGTTAGTAATGTAACTATTTCAGGTACTTTATTGAAATAATGTAACTGGTTACTTTTGTAAATAAATTCTGATGAATGTTTTCAAACATTTAAACCAGGCTGATTACGATCAGATTTTCAAAATGCTTCTTCACTTGAGATTATAATATATCATTTAATTTAGCACAGCAATATTTTAATCAATGCAGTTTGGGAAAGAAATCGGTTAGATCTGTGTTTGCGTGTTATAAATATTCAAATAACGCTCTTTGTAACTCTTAACATTATCATGAGTAACTGTAATTTAATTAGGTCAACACTTTTTTTTTTTTTTTTTAGTAACTTAACAGATTATAATTAAGTTTAATTATACAAATGTGTTGTTTCCTAGAAATGTGTCAAACTGATCTAGACTGGTTTATGGGTTCACCGTTGTGACGTAAATAAGCCTCTTTTTGGCAGTTTGATTCGTGCTGCGAGTCATTGATTTGAACCAATGATTGGCGAAGGTTTCAGAGCTTCACGAAGCTGTGTGTGTGTGTGTGTGTGTGTGTGTGTGTGTGTGTGTGTGTGTGTGTGTGTGTGTGCGCAGCGCTGGCTCTGGCCATGGAGAGGGACGGCTCCAGCGGTGGAGTGGTCAGACTGGCGGTCATCACGGAGCAGGGTGTGGAGCGACAGGCCATCCTCGGGAACCAGCTACCCAAGTTCTCCACCGTCTGAATCTGATCTGTGCTTTAGCAAAGCCTGAGGGTGTTTCTCTAGATGTTTGTCACTGAGCTCCAATAAACAAGACTCCGGTCCTCCTCTTTGGTGTCTGGCTGACTGATTTATTGACAGATGATTCAAAATCCAGATGTTTTGATGAAATGAAGGGTTTTGCTTTTACGTTTGTGTTTGGGGCAGAACTGTCTGTCTGAAACTTTTCAATCGATATATTGCGTGTCTGTGTGTTACACCGTTGCATCGCCTTTAAATTGATTAATTTGACATAATTAGCCTTTTTTTTCCTGTTTATTGCTGCAAAGCTGCTTTGAAATTTGTTTTTTTACAATAACTTTGTCACCAATTTTAGAACCTTGACGTCATTTTTTGAAACTCTAGACACAAAACAGTCATTATTTGTAACACAATAGGTTACATGTTGCCTTCAAGTCTTTAAAGAAGCCTTGCATTGGTTCAAATAACTTCTCATGAAATAGCGTTAGATCACCCACACACACGATGTGGATCATTAAATACAGTTGTTCAAAACACATGCTGCATCTTTCGTTATGGTTCTACACATTCATACGTCATTGTAATGGACTAGAGAGACCAGTACAGACACTGAAATCACTGAACAAAATCTAGTAATTCTGGGCCCCATTCAGTGGGGGGTGTTCATTCTGGGCCGCTCTCAAACACTCCTCCATGTCATGGCCAGGTTAAAGCCTGCCTCATCCAAAAATACGAATGGTTCTCATCAGCTTCCAGCACTAGCACCCGCTAGAAAGACATTTACTATCGGAAAAACAAATACTGAGAACGTTCTCTGTTTTCCCCCAACAACAGGCATCTTGAAAATGACCCTACCTGAACACACGCAGTCCTCAGTCGCTTCACTTTCATAATCTAAACGTGTAATATTGTTCATCCTTTTTTCATGAAAAAACTATGCATATTGAGTAATGCAACAGTTACTTAGCATCTTGAGCAGTTGTATCAATTGCTAGTTAGATCTTTGTAATGAAATCAATACACTTGACTCCGCTGTAATGTGTGCGATGAATTTTGAAATAGCAATACTTTGATGTCATTCTGAACTGGTGATCTTAGGTTGATGTGTATTGTATCCAAGCATTTGGTAACTTAATCCACTAACACTAATATTGACATGTAGTTGCAAGGTTACCTATAGTTAGTGAAATACAGTGAATCAATTCCATTGTTTCTAGCTGAGAAGAGCAAGAACTTTTTATTATTACTTCACTGGCCTGAGCCAACTAGTAATACTAGAAAGTTTTGAACTGATGGTCGAGACCGAATTACATCCAGCAGCGCTTCACTCCAGAGCGACTGCAGAGGGCTGGCCAATCAGAGAGCAGGGCCTCTCACAGGCCACGCCCCAACCAGCCAGTGCTTGAGCCACTGGTAGACGACGAGGTAGTTTCTGAGGAGCCAAAGGAACAGGAAACAGGAAGTGAGCGCATAAAGTACACACAGCAACAAAAAACCAGCAAACAGCCACCAGCACCAGGGCAGCAAACGTCCAAACGCTTCCCGTCTGGTGGTTTGGAACGTGATCGTGGGCAGTTCTGCTTGGGCAGTACTTTGAGGTTGGGATTGGCCAATAATTGGTCCAAAGTTGGTGTTGAATGTGATTGTGTGTGGTTCTGGTTGGCCAGTAGCTTGACTTTGGGCCTCGGCAATAATTGGAGCGGTGGTTGGTGGTTCAGAGTTGGTTGTGGGTTGGGATGTGTCGGTTTTCCAGGTGGTTGGTTCTGTGGCATCTTGAGAGGGAAGATATGGATTGGCCATTGGAGTCAAGATAAAATACTCCGTCCAGAATTCATGCCAGATATTGGTCCAAGTCTCAGTAACCCAATACCTTTCAATAGAGGCCCAGGATTTGGTGGAATCATGCAGGTGGGCGTCTATAGTGGTGTGATATGGAGCAATCGGCATTTGAGTGCTGGAAATTGGTTTTACTGAGATTGTTGGAAGATCAGGAGGGGATTCGAGATCTGTAAGATGAGGAGCAAGTTCAAGATCTGAAATTTCAGAAGAGGATCTAATATCTGGACGTTCAGAAGATGATCCAATATCCTGGTCTCCTCTGGGGTGGAGGGGTGGAGGATAGGCTGGAGTTGGTGGATCTGGTGGACAGAAGCCACTCTCCTCCAGCTCAATGATGGGTCGTTTGAGCAGGTGAGGTGGTCAAGAACACACCACGGAGTCTGCGGCAGGAACGATGTCGTTCGATCTGTCGTGCATGTAGACGTTGTGTTCCTAGTCGTTCCGGTAGCTGTGGAGGTAACCGACCGCGCAGCTGCAGAGCCAGGGATTGTGGGTCAGGTAAACGTAAGACAGCTCGGGCTTGGACGAGAAGAAGCGGTCGGGCATCAGCGAGACGCTGTTATTCTCCAAGTCGAAGGTCTTTAGGCCGCCGGAGGAGACGCGCTGCAGGAGGCGCGGAGGCAGCGCGGGAAGCTTGTTCTCAGACAGGCTAATGACCTCCAGACGCGGCAGCTCGCTGAAGGTGCCGTCGTGAAGGGAACGAATCTGGTTCTTGTCTAAGTAGATCTCCATCAGACTGGGAGCGCAGCAGAACACCAGTCCTCCCAAACCAGTTAACCTGTTACCAGACAAACGCAAGACGCTCAGCTTCTCCAGCACTGGACCTGAAAGAAACAGAGTTTGAGACTCTCATCACATCAGAATGAAAGTTTTGTGCCTTTTAATTCATGTGTAAACAAGCACTTGACTAAATCTACAACCATAAAAAGGCTTAATATAATAGAAAATAATAATGTTATTATCATAATGAAAAATACAAATGAATAAAATACAAAACCAAATCTACAAAATGTACTTGTGCTGTAGCTTGTTTTAAAACTCTAAACTTTGTAAACCACAAGAACCTAACTTCTTACAAACATACATTTTAAGACACTTATTTTTAAAATTAAAAAAGAATTATAATAAAAAAAATAGCATTTTAATTTAGCATTTTAAATTTTAATGTCACATTTTAATTTTTGCATTTTGGTTTTTAATATTTGCATTTTAATTTTCATAGAAATTTTTGCATTTTACACTAACTTTTGCATTTTAATTTTGCCTTAAGATCTTTTCATTGTAATTTTTGCATTTTTATTTTTTATTAATCTCTTTAATTTCCACTGAAATTTTTGCATTTATTTTGAAATTTTTTTTTTATTTGAATAGCACACTTTGCTATTTAACTTGGTATTTTAATTTTTGCAATTTACATTTTATTTATTTACATTTTGCTTTTTATTTTTTGCATTTCAAGTTTTATTGAAATTTTTGCATTTTGAATTTCATACTTTGCTATTTAATGTTTGCATTCAAATGTTTGCATTTAGCATTAATCTAGTGTTTTTGACAGTTAGAGTAAGATGACTGATGCGCTTCTGTTTCCCTGGCGGCTCCAGTGTGCTGATGTGATTGTGGCTCAGGTCCAGCTCGTGCAGCTCTGAGAATCCAGAATACATGGACCAGGACAGAGAGGTGAACTGGTGTCCAGTGAGAACCAGGAGCTGTGTCTGTGTCCCTGACTCACGCAGCTGGCGCGGGGCCGATGGTCCTGGTTCCTGTCGCTCTGACAGCTGCTGCTCGTGACGATGAAGCTCCGCATCAGGAGGAAGACCAGCGTGATGAAGGCTGCCGGATATTAAGACACTGTTGAGCAAAACTGTCACCACATGTTAGAACTTCATAAAACAGCATGTTTATGCCAAATTTTACCACAAAATCAAGAAAGAAAAAAAAGACTGATAACACTATTTGACCATTGTGACATATTTAACAATTGCACATTTTTATTACAAGTTCTCTTTAAATGTATTCCGAAAAAAAGTAAAACTGGATTATGTTGTCATTTTATAAATGTTAATTTACTGTTAATTTCATATCAATGAGCTTCTTTTTTTTTTTTAAAGAAATTAATAGTTGTATTCATCAAGGCATTGTGACAGTAAAGACATTTCTAATGTTACAGAAGATTTCTATTTCAAATAAATGCTGTTCTTCTGAACTTTCTGTTCATCTGTGAATCCTGAAAAATAAAATGCATCACAGTTTCCACAAAAATACTGGGCAGCACGACGGTTTTCAACATTGATAATAATCAGAAATGTTTCTCGAGCAGCAGATCAGCATATTATACTGATTTCTGAAGATCATGTGACACTGAAGACTGGAGGAATGATGCTGAAAATACAGCTGCACATCACAGAAATACATTTCATAACAGATATTCACATAGACAACTGCCGTTTGAAATAATAATATTTCACTGTTTTACTGTATTTCTGATCAAACAAGTGCAGCCCTGGTGAGCAGAAGACATTAAAAATCTTCATTTTAATCCACATTTTTTAACGGTGGTGTACATTTTGAAATTAAGATGATTTACTTCCCTGCAGAACGAGACTTTTAAGAATTAACGCTTAAATGTTCTTAATCACAATGAAAATGAAAAACAAGGACTAGATGAGTACATGTTCTGAAAGAAGAGTGAGAGCCAGACTGCTTGTAAAATGACGTCGCTGTCGGATGTCTGTCTTTCTAAGGCTTTTAAAACTGCGATCCGGTGACTTCTGAACCGTTTTGATCATTTTAAGCTTTATTGTTTTGAAAAACGCCCATCTTCAGAGTCAGTCAGATATTGAAGAGCTACAGACGCCAGCTTCTGTCAACAAAAACACTAGAAACTGTCGTCTTTATACACATATACGTGCTTTATTGACATCTTTAAAACTCAAAAATAACTCAAAACCAAAAAAGAGCAACAGAAGAGCAGAAAAACAGGTTCATCATCGTGTTGGAAACGACGTCAAAGTCAACCTCAAAACAGTGAGCGCTGCATGTGTGTGTGTGTTTGTGCTAATCCACTCCTCGCACACAAACACACACTACTCCATTCAATCATAACCAAACTAAAAAAACCTCGCCATCGTCAAACACAATCAGCAGATTGTCCAGAAGGGTTAGAAAAGGTCTTTAATAACCCCGCCCACCTGCCACGCAGTTACCATGACGACACCGTGCAGCCTCACACAAGCAGGCCTGATCTAAATCTGCCTCAAAAATAACGTCAAACCGGATCAAACCACTGTCTGTGGCACAAAGGCACGGGAATCATAATCCGAATAAATAGTCAAAATATTTCTGCCATCTGACTGAGTTTCCATCCTAAAAAAACACCAACTCTAAAACTCACACAACTTGCATCTTCACTCCACATGTCCATTGCATTGACCTTTGAACCCTCACATCACTTTCACCATCAGCATCTGCTAGTAAACTCATTCCAGCCCTGCACACCCGTGCATTTCTCAGTTCTCTCCTCCCAATCATTTGATTCAGCTGGTTCGTTTTAATGGACTGGTTCTTGATTCGAGTCGTTCCGTGATGGGGTTTTGTTTCAGCTCTGGTTCAATGTTCGTTAACTGAGCTGTGAATCGACGAGTGTGATGAAATCTCGTGTAGTTTAACATTGATCACCCGGCTCAGTTTATTACACTAAAGACCATTCCTGCCACGCTGAGTTTGGTTGAAAAGACCAGTTGAAAGACTGAAATAAGATGAAAGGTGAGTCAAATGATTCTAGCAGCATCTGAACATGTGCTGAAGCCAGAACGTTTGTGTTTTGAGTTGTTCCGTTCTGAACATACGAACACTAATGCACAACTAGTCCTGGGCCGAGTCATTGCTGGAGGTACGTGATCCTGAACAACACCAAACACACAGACGGAGAACAGAGTTTGGGTTAACTAGTCTCGGACAGCCCACACATGCATATTGCACTTAAAATAATGAGAGCTTTGCAAAACCCACAAGCTCTAGTCTGATTGGATGACCAGGAGTCAGTGTGCACAAGACTAAAGGCCGTTCACACCAAGAACGATAACTATAACGATAGCGATAGTAGCGTGCTCACAAGTGGACGATAACATTCTGTTTATTGTAAGCGCTGCTGTTTTGTCGTCTGTCGCTTTAAATGCTCGAGCTCGGATGGATTCTGATTGGCTGTCAATGTTTTTGTCATCCATCAACTGGAAAAAACATTGTTTTGAAATGATTCCAATGATATCGTTCCTCAGTCATTATCATTATAGTTGCGATGCGGACTTGTTCAAAAATGTGCATACTGAAAAAGGCCGGCTGTCCGTTATCTAAAGTGTAGGGATACATAAATGACTGCTCGAAGCCAGGTCACATTTGCGATTTCTTGACGAAATTTCACAGACGGAAAAAAAGATCCATTGTTTTGTTTTTTTTTCAAACTAAGAAATCGCTTTTAATCCAAGCAGCTTTTTTGCTGGTCAACGCAGCAAATTTGCGAGACCAACTTGAACCAGTTGCGAAATCTTCCGCGAAAATTTCCCAATCGCGTAGATTCCTATTAAAACGACTTGATTTCGCCTGCAAAAATGTGCGGAACTAATCGTTATAGTTGTGATGCAGACTTCTAATTAAGTGATGGTTACATTAGCAAAATATATTCAAAATTTAAAAACTAAAAAAGTCTTTTGTGCATAATCAAAAGTGTACTGATACATAAAACACAAGTTGTTTAAAGCAACACATTTGAAACTAAAACGAAAAAAAGCGAAATTCCCAATCGCGTAGATTCCTATTAAAACGACTTGACTTCGCCTGCAAAAATGTGCGGAACTACAGTAGATGTGAGCTCACCTTAAGAGCGAATATTAAAGCTTCATCATCATAGTTATCTCTCTCGTCGTGAACTGGTCTTAACTGTCACTCAAACGCTCTCTTCCTGTCAAAAGTGGGCGGTTCTTGGCCAGAATGAACTCTCTGCTGATAGTCTGGCTACACGAGACTGTTAACTAACCCATCAAAACAACATGGCTTGTATTTCATGACATCGTAAGTGAAGGACAGTAAAACGACGGACTCTCAGACGGGCGTTCCTTTGCTCTTCAGGTCGGGGGCGCTGTACTGCCGTCTCATGCGCGGCGGCGTGACGTAGCCATGTGGTTTTTGGTTTCTGCCGCGCTGTTGATCGGAAAGCGTGTGCGGTAGAGTCTGGAAAGCGGGCCACTGATGATTGATGTACGGTTGTGCGTCCGCCCCCTCCCCGCGCGCGCAAGGACCCGGCGACTGTCGCCGATAGCGACCGCGTCCCGAATGCTTCGCGCCGCTATTGTTGTGGTGCCCGTTGCTATAGTAACCCTGGTTGCCAGGCACGGTGGAGCCATCCAGTGAGTTGCGCCTGTAGCGCCACTGTTGCTGAGGAAACGGATTGCCGTTGCCATAGTTTCCATTGCCGTATTGGGGAGGTTGCCAGGGGCGACTGAGGGAGGGCGCACGCATGACGACCGGCACTTGGAACGGTAGAGGAAGTAACGGCATGCCGGGGACGGGGCCTCGTCCCTCATCCTTGAGATCGTCCAGAGTGACGGATGCATTCGGGCCCCAGGAGAGCCGGTGCTGTGGGTTGCTCTTAAAGGGGAATTTCAGCTTGCAGTCCTGAGGGGGAATGAAGCGTCCCGTTCCAGGAAGGTGGATCACGCCCTCCCCGGCCCCGCCCCCGGCTCCGCCCCCTCTGCGCAGCAGCTTGGTGATCTGCTGCTGCTGCAGGTTGTGCAGACGCAACTGCTCCTGCTTGAGCCAGCGCAGGCGGCCCCTCCGGAAGGCGGGGTCTTCTTCCATCAGTCGTGACACTCGCTTCTCTTTAGGGAGGGGCTCCAGAGGGCCACGCCCATCCGGGTCATCGCCCCGCCCCTGATGGCCGTTCACAAGCAGTTCCTCTGATTCTTCATCATCATCATCATCATCATCCTACACAAACACAATCATGTCAACCATTACCGACTCCACTCAGAATTGAGCTGAGAATGCCTTTAAATTCCAACTGAATTTCGAAATTTTATTTAAATTTGAATTGATGTAACAAAAAGGATGCAGAATTGCAAAATTGCATTTTTAACTAGAAGGCTTGTCAAGATAATCTCAGAATGTTAGAATAATTTTTTTTTAAAAAGCCTTAAAGTCTGAGGGTTTATTGGCCTAAAAGAGAAGGAAAGAAACAAAGAAACACAAAAAATAAAGAACAAAAAGAAAACAATTAACAAAAAATGTAAAAGAAAGAAAAAACAAACAAAACTAGAAAAACAAACAAAAAAGAAAAAAACAAAGAGAAACAAAAAAGAAAAACTCAAAACAAAGAAAGCAAACAAAAGAAAGAAAAACAAAAAGATTGAAAGTGTTTGAAATGTACTTTTGCATCCATTCATTTTTCCTTTTTTAACCATGACAAAAAAAAAAATTTTTAAACGCTGCGATGAAAACCAAAATTGAAATTAGAACCGTACACACAGAATGCTGCCCAAAAAAGTAAAATATCGACTTCTTTTCAGATTTTTGTTGATGACTTTTTGCACCTTTAATAAACATTTGAAAACTGCACAAATTGATATTTAAAAAATGTCAATTTCAACAAGTTTTATTTGGCCAAATTAGAAGTAATGCTTCTCCCGCAACAATGCAGAGACTTAATACAAATATTGGGGTATAATTTTGTCATAATTGGATCTCGGTATTGGAGAGGACCATGCATGGCCACGCAAAGAACGTACAGTACATCGTGTTAGAGCGCTATGCACGAGGCTTTGATATACGGGGCAAATATATAAATATAATATATAAATATATACAATTATAATTTCTCCTACTTCTCCAGATAAAGACAGGTCAGTTCCAGAATCAAATCACTGATGGTGCTTCTGAAACCAGTGAGGCTGCGCTAGCATCTATTTTGACATATTTCTACCCTGTCCACTGATAGGGACATCCGCATATATATGCCATTAACTGTATATATATATATATATATATATATACGCCACACCGGAAACTTTGCAGCTTGTGAGCTGTCACTGGTCCTCTAAGCATCATGAAAAACAAACGTATTCAAATTCTGAATGGATTAGCCAAGAAAGCACACAAAGAGCACTCCCTTTATAATAATTAAAAAGCTGTCACTCATTTCAGTTTATCGTGATCTCACAAAGTTAATCAATGAAGCTCTACACTGTACAATGAAACTCTTATTCACATCATGTTATACTTTTTGTTATAGAGACTCCCGATGGTGTAGCACTGAACAAAACTGTGGCGTGCAGTGGATTCTAACTTAAAACGCTTGGCCACTGAGTTCAGGAAATCAGCAGCAAATGTCGGTGATTGGCTATTGATCAGTGCTACAAAAACACGTTGAAAATAGAAACCTTTGGAAAACATGTTTCGCCAGTATTCTATTTCTTCAACTCTAGCACTCCCATACAACTGGCCCTGGATACAGTCCATTGCAAAGAAATATGTAATGAGCATTTCATACATGTTTTTAGGCGTGAAAAATGATCAAGATAAAAATATCGAAGCCAACGGCTTTCGTAAAGCAATAGGTTACTGGTAGCCACGTCAGTAGCGCGAGAGGGCGCTTAGGACTATAGACTCTGGAGATGCTAAAAAAGCTAGAAATTAAATTGAGCATTTATTTACATTAAAAAACAAGATTTATATCCTTTTTTCGATTTTGAATAATGAAAATGAGTTTGTGTCTGCTTATTCTATTCATCAGAGTTTGAACCATTAAAGAAGAAATGGCGCTTTCCGTATTTCATTTCTGGGTTAAAAACCAAAAGAATGGACGCAAAAAATCCGTGTATCATTCGATCATTCGTTTTTTTATTTAATATTGAAAGTAGAAAAATGAGAAAACGGCTCCTTTTTCGTGTTTTAGTTTTTTTCCCAAAAAACGAAAAACGTGAATTCAGCTTAAATTTTCGTTTTTCGTTCATGGGTGGAAAAATGAATAAACAGCTTGAATATTTGATTTCTACACGTGGGCGGGAATTAAACGCCCCTTTCTGCTGATTGGTCAGCCGAAGATCAAACCGTGCCGTCATCAGTTCTTCTGCAGTATCATGCAGCAGAATAATAGTCCTCCACTGCTGCAGGTGTACAGATTAATTACCCATTTGATCAATTTCATATTTTTCTCATCCAACAGACTAATGAATAGCTGGACACAACTGGTACCGGGGCAGAGTCTAGACAGGGCTTTCTTCTGTGTAGACCAGCGGTTCTTAAAGTGATGGGGGGTCCGAGAAATAATTAGCTATAGCCTAAAGTATTTCCAGACTGCAAAGTGTTTTTTTTTTTTATCGTGATACATAGGCCTACTGTGATTTATTCCAAAGTGACTTATATGATGCATTTAACATCTAATCATCTAAATGAAGCCTTTTAAAAGACGAGTATTCGCTGTGGTTCATGTTTGTGGCATGCGCCAGAAAGATGCTCGAGGAGACCGAGACACGCTAAAGCTGCGCATTCTGTTGTTCTCTTTATTCTTCAAAGACATGACATTTTGTAGTTATTCTGAACGTAACGTTACACAATTAAAAATATACATTTTACCATACGACTATAAATGACAGAGTATTAAGTTATTTCCCCTCGATGGGGAAAAAAATCCAAGTGAACATCAATCAGTACTCAATATTAATGTAAACTGCTTTAAATATGACTGCTGCTTATTTCCTCTGCACTTCAATACTGGTCTGCGCTTGACTGTAGTCTGTCTGCTTATTGAGTTTATTTAATCCATCGCAATGGTGACTTTATTTTTATTTTTATTTTTTTGAAGCGGATGCATATCTGTCGTAAAATAATCCTATGCATCTCGTGGCGTATATATTCCAAGCATTCTGAAGGTATTCTGAGGGTTTGGTGAGAAACAAACTGAAATTGCAAGTTATTATATTTTATGAAAATCTTGCGTTGCAGTGCGAGTGCGCAGCAGCACAAGTGCATATCATTTTGAGATATCAATTATAATACATTTTACACAATACTACATTGTATAACTCTAACAATAGGCTATTTAATATCTGCTGTTCTCCGGTTGTCAGTCAGAATGACAGTTCTTGCGTGAACATTATAGGCCTATATATAGCCAAGCCAATTTATTATTCTTTCCTTTTTGTCTTAGTGTTTAAAATATTTATTTTGAACCTAATTAATTAATTACTTAAACAGACTTACTGGGTGAGCAGGGTAGGCTAAGACAGCTGTCATGTCATACCCTGCCATGCCCAGCTGATGCAAAGAATAGAATTTATATCTACACAGAAGAAAGCCCTGTCTAGACTCTGCCCCGGTATGAGTTGTGTTGAGCTATTCATTAGCCTGTTTGTTTGATGAAAAAAGACTAAATGTAGTTGCAATAAATGTGTTAAGAATCCATACAACTGCAGCAGCGGAGGACTATTATTCTGCTGCATGGTACTGCAGAAGAACTGATGATGGCACGGTTTGATCTTCGGCTGACCAATCAGCAGAAAGGGGCGTTTAATTCCCGCCCACGTGTAGAAATCAAATATTCAAGCTTTTTATTCATTTTTCCACCCAAGAACGAAAAACGAAAATTTAAGCTGAATTCTCGTTTTCCGTGTTTTGGAAAAAAAACGAAAATACAAAAAAGGAGCTGTTTTCTAATTTTTCTACTTTCAATATTAAATCAAAAAACGAATGATCGAATGATACACGGATTGCAAAAGTACACTGACCTGGTTTATTGGCCTTAAAGAGAAAGAAAGAAAGAAAGAAAGAAAGAAAGAAAGAAAGAAAGAAAGAAAGAAAGAAGGAAAACAAAAAAGAAAAAATAGAAAGCAAAAAAATGGTAAGAAAAAAATAAATAAACAACAAACAAAATAAGAAAAAAACTACAAAAAAAACAAGAAAAGAAAGAAAATGAAATAAAGAAACAAAGCAAGAGAACTTAAGAAAGAAAAGAAAAACAAAAAAGACTGAAAGTGTCTGAAATGTCATCTACTGTAAATAAATTTGTAAATAAGTTTATATATTTCATCACAGGTTTGAAGAAACTTTCATTTCTGTTGATACATCACCTGCTGGATTTTTTTTAACAAAGTTCAGTAATGCAAGTGTGTGTGAGTGTGTGTGAGAGTGAGTGTGTGTGTGTGTGTGTGTGTGTGAGTGTGTGTGAGAGAGTGTGTGTGTATGCACCTGCTGCACTGTCGGGATGATGCTCTCCATCTTTATCATTCGGTCTCTGAGGGCTCTGATCTCCTCGTCCTTCATGTTGTTCTGCTCTTTGACCTCCTGCAGGATGTCGGTCAGTTTGTGGACGTGCGCTCTGAGGTCACACACACCGCTCTCTCCGTCTGTCGTCTCCAGCGTGCGCTCGTCTGCGATGCCCACCGTGTCCCACACGTCCTGCGCCACCTCCCTCCAGGCCTCGCTCTCGGCTGCGTCTCGTTTGCCGTACATGCGGCAGAGCTCCTTCATCTTGACGATGGCCAGCGCCTCCATCTCCTGCCGTGAGTGTCTGAAATCTCCGAGCGCAACCTCGTAGCAGATCTCCTTCACTGCCTGCAGCTTCAGGTCGCTCATGGTCACCTGCTGGGGGTCTTTGCTGATGCGCCTGCGCTGCGGGATCTGATAGACGCGGAGCGGCTCGCGCCGTTTGCCGCTGCTGGGTAAACCGCAGCGCTTCACTATGGACTGAACCTGAAACACACACGAGGAGCATAAGACGTCTGTCCTGTATTCACAAAACATTTGTGACCCTGGACCACAAACCAGTCATAAGGGTCAATTTTGTGAAATTATAAATAATCTTTCCATTGATGTATGGTTTGTTAGGATCGGACAATATCTGAAAATCTGGAATCTGAGGGTGCAACAAAATCTAAATATTGAGAAAATCATCTTTAAAGTTGTTCAAATGAAGTTCTTAGCAATGCATATTACTAATCAAACATTAAGTTTTGATATATTTACGGTAGGAGATTTACTAAATATCTTCATGGAACATGATCTTTACTTAATATCCTAATGATTTTTGTCATAAAAGAGAAATGTATAATTGTGACCCATACAATGTATTGTTGGCTATTGCTACAAATATCCCCCAGCGACTTAACACTGCTTTTGTGCTGCAGGGACACGTTTTATCTTACCACTAGGAGTTCTCCTAAATAGCAGTTTTCTCTTCACACCTATTCACAGAGCTGCTGAGACGAACTTGTAGTAAGGAATAGAGAGGTCTTAAGCGCAGAGTAAGGGGGCGGGGCTGAGCTCGTTGCTATGGATGATGTCAGCGTGCTTATTAACTATGCACACAGTGATTGGCTGATAGTCTCTGTCAGAGATTTATTCATAGAAATAAAGACCAATTTAGGGCAGACGTCACAGTTACGTCACTTGCATTGTGTTTGCAGAAAAACACTGGTTACAAATGGAGGGAAACGAGTAAAATCCATGGAATAAGAGAAAAATAAAGCAATAAGCCCTTAGCGGTTATAAATTCACTGTAAACCACGGCTTCACGGGGGTTACTGCTTTTATTAAACGGTTATTCCATATACGTAGCAAGGTTTCACAAAATAAAACAGAGCAAATAAAGTGTAATGATATTAATAAAAACAGTATTCTTCCACCAAACAATGTAGCTCCTCAGAAACAGTTGTGGTTGCTACAAAGTGGTTGCCGAGCAACACACAAACGTAAACAAAGCTGTATGTTACTTTGTTACAGCTTCGAACGCGGCTCAGCCAATCAGAGCCAAGCACCAGAACTCTCCGCTTTATAAAAGTATTTCTGTGCTTTTGGATGTCAGAACGGGAATGCAAATCATTTTTATAGAATGCTGTCATCAAAGACGCCATTTGAAGCTAAACGCAGACGTTTAAACGGACAGACTATGGATGAAGTCTGCTATGGTTACTCTACTTTTAAAGCATAAATTTGATTTAAACAATAGGTCTAAATAATATTCACATATGCAGTTCACAGGGGAATTATAGTTATTAGTCCTACAGTTACAGCACGAAATACTATTTAAACCTATTACTATTAACATTTTATATAACATTTACCTATTTTATCTCACAATTCTGACTTTTTTTTCTGAAGTTTATATCTCCTAGTTCGGACTTTATAAATCGGTTTAATGCAACAATAGCGAGTTTGTCAACTCTGAGGAAAAAAATTCAGAGGCGAGGGAAAAAAGAGAGAATGCCGAGTTGCTTTTTCTTATCAGAATTGTGAGATATGATCACGTAATTGCGAAAATAAAGTCAGAATTTTGAAATATAAACTCAAATTTACCTTTTTTTTATTCTTTTATTACATAGCTTCCATAGACTACTACTTGAAAACTGTAAATTAAACTTAATTACTTTAAATTACTTTAATTTTAGTTAATGATAATAATGCTGATATCTGATTCTTAATTAAACAGACTGCTGCACATATATGACCACAATACAGAGCAACTGCATTCAATACTAATATTTTATTTGATATGTATATCATACGTACAGATATATCAGTAATTGTGACCAAAATACCAATAATAACCAAAACAAACAAAAAAATCATTTAAAAAAAAATTATAAACAAGCCCAAAATACAACCGGACTCTTATTTTGAAATGTCTCTATTTTTCTGGTACCTTGTTAGCTGGTAGTTTCTCTCTCAGGGACGAAATGAGTCTCCAGCTTTCTTCACATGAGCGTTTGTCAGAATCATCTCCACTGTCTGAATCTGCGTACTGAACACACTCACACACACACACACATAATAGTGTGACTCACAGTTAGCAGACCTTTATCATGTAATACTGCAGAAATAGTTTTGTACTGATATATACTACCGTTCAAAAGTTTGGGGACAGTACTTTTTTAATACTTTTATTCATCAAGGATGCATTAAATTGATAAAAAGTAACAGACATTTAAAATGTTACAAAATATTTATATTTAAAAATGCTGTTATTTTGAACTTTATATTCATCTGTGAATCCTGAAAAATAAAATATATCACAGTTTCCACAAAAATATTGTTCAGCACAACTGTTTTCAACATTGATAATAATCAGAAATGTTTCTCGAGCAGCAGATCAGCATATTATACTGATTTCTGAAGATCATGTGACACTGAAGACTGGAGGAATGATGCTGAAAATACAGCTGCGCATCACAGAAATACATTACAGTTTAACACATATTCACATAGAACACAGCTGTTTTACACTGTAATAATATTTAGCTGTTTTTTACTGTAGTTTTTATTAAATAAATGTAGCCTTGGTGAGCAGAAGAGACTTCTTTCAAAACATTTAAAACTTTTACAGACCCCAAAGTTATAAAGCTAGTGTGTGTTAATCTTGCACTTTTTAACAGGTCTGTGTGTGTGTGTGTGAGAGTGTGTGAGTGAGTGAGTGAGTGTGTGTGTGTGTGAGAGAGAGAGAGAGAGAG